ATTTTGGAGAAGGCAAAAGAGACAATGAAACTTTTGTATCCTGAACAAGATTCTGAACACCAACTTTCTCAAGGTTGGCTTGAAAAATTCAAATTACGACATGGTATCAAGTCGTTTCGGAGAAAGCGGTTCAGTTGATGTGCAAGACATGGAGAAGAAGTTGGAAGCTATAAGAGAAAAAATAAATAAGTTTTCTATGAAAGATGTTTTTAATATGGATGAAACCGGTTTGTTTTATAGGTTACAAGCTGATCATTCTCTTGCTACAAAACAACTTGAAGGCAAAAAAACAATACAAAGAAAGGTTAACGGTTGTTATATGCTGCAACGAGGATGGGTCTGAAAAAATTCCCTTATGGATTATTGGAAAATATGTAAAGCCCCGCTGTTTCAAGAATTTCAACATGGATAGCTTGAATTGTCACTATCGTTCCAACAAAAGAGCTTGGATGACAAGTGTAATTTTTGAAGAATATGTCCGCTAGTTTGATCAGAGAATGCATGGCAGAAGAGTTTTGTTTGTGGTAGATAATTGCCCAGCACATCCAAAAAATATTGAAGGATTACATAATGTTGAGCTGTTTTTCTTGCCACCAAACATGACATCGAAAATTCAACCTTGTGATGCTGGAATAATAAGAGCTTTTAAGATGCATTATCGAAGGAGATTTTACCGTCAGATTTTAGAAGGGTATGAGTTGGGACAATCTGATCCAGCTAAGATCAATGTTTTGGATGCTATCAACTTTGCAGTCTCGGCGTGGACAGTTAATGTTAGTCAAGAAACAGTAGCAAATTGTTTTCGACATTGCAAAATCCGTTCCGAAGATGTCGTATCAAGGAATTCAGAAGATAAATCAGATTCTGAAAACGACATTCGTGAACTTGAAGTTGTGATTAATAATCTTGGTTATCGGAACAGAATGGATGTCAATAGCCTACTCGATTATCCGGGTGAAAATGATGCATGCTCAGAAGTTCAGAGTTTAGAAGAGATTGTGGCTTTTGTCCGTAATGTTGGTGAAGAAGTTGAAGAGGATAATGTGGAACCTTTGTAGGTAGTGACACGTAAGGAAGCAATTATCACGTCTAGAACTCTTCAAAACTTTTGGATGCAGATTGAGAAGAGAACACTACGAGTTTTGGATGCAATAAGGAAAATTAGAGATGAACTTCAACGAGATTCGAACTTTAAGAAAAGACAAACAACACTAGCTTCATATTATACTAGATTATCTTAGAATGTATGCTTAAGATTCCTAATTAATTAATTTATGATATTATTGGGACCATATTTTATTATAGGGATTTCAAAAAAATTATTATCTTATTATCTTATCGAATTTAGTTAATTTTTACATTGGCCCGACTTGGGACCGGCAAAATTTATTAATTTATCGTGGTTATTAATTTATCTAGTATTAATTTATAGAGGTTCTACTGTACTTACTTTTTATGAAATAGCCTTCGGGAGGAGAAATCACGACATAACATATGTCGGAAGGGTCTGTGCTACAGACTTTATAAAGACCTCTTTGCCGCCTTTGGACAAGAATTTTGGTGACCATGTATTAAGCTTTTTTGAAGTCTATCTCTCACAAAAGAAAAACCTTGTACTTTAGAGCCATGAATTTTTCAGGTAAACCTAAGTAGGATCCCATGCCCCCGTCTTTATGGATTCTTAATGTTGACTTAATGATATTTCAAGTTGTATTGTCCACATCATGACCAAACATTACCGAGGACTTAGCAGCTTTTAACTTTTGTTCCAAAATCTCGCCATATATGCAGAGAATATTGATGATTTCTTGACCTTGGGTTGGATCTGCTTTACACAAGAAAAAGCTATCGTCTGCAAACACGAGGTGTGAGGTGGATGGGCTTGCACGGGATATTTGAAGACCGTGAATACGGTCATTCCATTCCGCATCTATAAGTTTTGCCACCAAGGCTTCCGTGCACAAAATAAAAAGGAATGGAGAAATAGGATCACCTTGACGGATTCTTCTAGGCGGTTTAATGGAACCCCTCGGTGATCCATTTAAGAGGACTTTATACGAGAATAAGGAAATGTAGGAAAGTATCAATTCCACATATTTCTGTGTGAATCCCATCTGCAGCACTAGAGCTCTTAGAAAGGACATTTCCACACGGTTGTAAGCTTTACTTATATCCGTCTTTATAGCCATGAAATTTTTTTTTGCAAGCCGGGTTAATCCGGAGAACATGAAATTTTTTTGTGCGGATTGTGTCTCGGATATTAGCTACGGAAGTAGTTTTGTAAGAAGAAAACTGAAAACTTTTGAGATAACTTTGCAGTGGCGGATCCAGAAATTAATTTTACCCGGGGCATTAATATTAAAAAAAAATTAATCATATCTTACTAAACATATAAACACGTAACAAAATAAAAGAAATGTGATTTATCGTAGTGTTATACTGTTAATTAGAAGAAAAAATGTGCTTGTTAACAAAAGAAATAGATACAAATTGGATTTTTGTCTTGTATTTGTATGAAATAGATTTTCAATTTTAATATAATTATCATTAAAATGTGTTTGTATAACAAAAACAGAGTAATAGGGGGCACTAAATAATATATTAACAGGGGCATAAATAAAAACTCTCACAAAATAATACTAATTTTGAAAATTTTACCCGTGGCAACTGCCCCTCTTCTACGACACGTACGTCCGCCCCTGTAACTTTGTAACTAACATTACACAAGCTGATTGGTCGAAACAACGCCATTTTTCTCGGTCTATCTATTTTTGGAATCAAACAGATATTAGTCTCATTCAGACGCTCATCAAAAATTTCTTAAGAAAGGAAGTTTTGGACTAATTTTATTAGATATGGCCCAGTCAAATCCCAAAACTGCTGGTAAAAAAGAGCCGTCATCTCATCCCCCGCAGCTTTATCCAGATTGAGAGAGAAGAGAGCTCGTTGAACTTCCTCCGGGGAGATCTCTTTAGTGAGTTTCTGATTCATATCTCCCGCGATCATAACCGGCACATCCCGAAAAATGGAATGGAAATCTTATAAGTCAAAAGTGGTAAACAAATCTTTAAATTAATCCACCGCTAAATTCTCAAAGCCCACCTCCTTGTCCACCCACATACCATCTTTGTTCAATAATCCAGTAATGTTGTTCCTTGCTCTTTTTTTGCTTGGTAATAGCATGGAAGAATTGAGTATTCTTATCACCAACTTGAAAAACTGTTTCTCTACTTTTCATCCTCCAAAATATCTCCATTCTCTATATGCGTCGCAGAGCTTCCACTTTAGGGCTAGTAGAGCTTTTGAGGAGATGGACTCATTTTTCTGAGCAAGATCAATTTGATTTTGTAACTCCATAATCAAATTTTTTGAGTTTGTATAATTTGATTTCTTCCAAATATAAATGGATCTCCTGCGCTTTTTAACATTTTGTGAAAAAAGAACTCCTAGCAAAGGGAAAATCCAGTCTTTATGGACCGATTCTTTAAATCCAAGTTTATCAAGCCATCTTTATATCAAAGATGAAATGTTTAAAGACCTGGGGTGGGCTGTCCTGGATTGATGCTAGGAGGGGTTTATGGTCAGATCCTCATAATTTTAAATACTCCACATTTGGGGGAAAAAATGGCATGCCATTCTTCATTTGCCAAAACTCTATCTAAACTGGTTTTGATAAGACGACGAACCCTCCGTCCCGTAACTCTGCAGCTACGTTGCCCCATCCATGAGAATAAATTACCTAGAGATGGAACCTCAATCATTCCACAATTTTTGATCATACAACGAAAGGGGAGGAAAGAGGATTCAGACCTGTTCTCGTGGTTTTCGGAAATCTCGTTAAAGTCACCAGTCATAAACCCTGGATCAAAGCGAATAATACAAATACGAGTCAAACGCTCCCAAACTAATTCTCGGTATTGAACTACCGAATCTCCATAGACAAAGGTAATAAAAACTCGATTCCATCAATAATAGTTTTAATATCAAGAAGCCGATCACTAATAAAAGAGCAAGACCACCACTGTTGCCAATTGGATCAACAGTTTGAAGGGAGTCAAAACCTATAGACACTTGCATATTGTGAAGATGCAAAAGATCATTTTTAGTTTCCCATAAAAAAAGAAAACCTGGAGAATACATACGACTCATTTCCTCAGTCGGCAAGTAGTGAGTGTGTGTTTGCCCCTTGAAAATTCCATGGTAGGATCCTCATGTGTTAATTTCCGGAGGGGGGAGTGGGAAGGGGGGGGGGGTTTGGGAGCCCCACCGAGCTAACAATCGACACCGAAGAGTCTTTGAAGACGGGAACACTTCATTTTTTGGGACCAAGGTAGCTCGCCTAGGGTTTCTCGGCTTTGAAAAGCCGGACAGACGGATCAGTTGGAGCGATTAGAGATTCTCTTGCTAAGAGACCGGTCTTTGATGTTTTAGATCTTTTATGAAGCTGAATTGATCAAGATAGCTGGACTTGTCTGAACTTTATAGGCTTGGGCTCCTTCCTTCTTCTTGGACTCTTTTTTTTTTAAAATTTAGGGTTAGAAAAGCCTAGATCCACTAAAAGAAGAGTGATGGCAGTCGCCTGGTTTCTTGAAGCCTCAATCGAGCTAACAATCGACATCGAAGACTCTTTGAAGACGGGAACACTTCATTTTTTGGGACCAAGGTAGCTCGCCTAGGGTTTCTCGGCTTTGAAAATCCAGACGGACGGATCGATTGGAGCGATTAGAGATTCTCTTGCTAAGAGACCGGTCTTTGATGTTTTGGATCTTTTATGAAGCTGAATTTATCAAGATAGCTGGACTGGTCTGAACTTTACAGGTTTGGGCCCCTTCCTTCTTCTTGGACTCTTTCTTTTTTAATTTAGGGTTAGAAAAGCCTAGATCCACTAAAAGAAGAGTGATGGCAGTCGCGTAGTTTTCGAAGCCTTAATCGAAGTCTTCTCCACACCCGACGAGATCCTTTCCATATGAGATCCGATCCCTGTCTCAAATTGTAGCTCTGATTCATCTTATAAGCTTTCCTGAAGTTCTTCATCACCCATTAGATCATCATCATCCAAATAATTTGCTTCGTTGGGGAGGGGAGGTTCAAGAGCATGGTAAGCTTTTTCATCCTTTGCCATCTAATCGAGGTTGAGAGCCTCCGACATCAAGTGGTGGTTACCACCCAAAGAAACCTCAAGGTCATGAATCCCAAGTGCCGACACATGAGTCACAGGACCATTAACATGACTAGTAAAGTTTATCGATTTGGAGAACTTTACCGCCAACAAATGTGCGGGCTTAGATTCATGATTCGCTTCTGGATTATCTTCATCCTCATCCTGCTCCTCCTCTTCTTCCAAGGTCATCTCGTACCAGCTCTTTTTTTTTTCTCCGATTGAGATTTTAGAGACACATATCCTAGTGAAATCAACTGGAGAGGATCAACCAGACACGGGTTAAGGCTGTCAAAATTCAAGGACTTCTTCGCAGAGCTTCCTATTTCTGACGAGCCTTCTGGGATTTGATGTGGAAGATCTACCTCTTTATCTTTTTCTTTGTCTAAAGATGTAGCTTTTTAAAAAAGGTTTAAACGGAATGGTTTTTCCCTCATGTGAGCTGGGGTAGAATTGCCTTGTTTAGCTCTAACTGAGGCTAGAAGAGGTTCCGAGATTGTAAGTTGAGAGTCAGAAATGTGAGAGATGATCGAATCCAGTCTTCGCTTCTCTCCGAAGCGGTGGCAAGATGAGTGTTCTTTGCGGGAAAAGCCCAAACATTCTTTACTTGAGGGTTCACCACTTTTATAATGAGAGAAAGAATCATCATAGCATCGTTTTTAACCATCATCAACTGTATTTCCTTTAGAGTGATTAGGGAAAGAGGGGCGCCCTTGAACCATTTGAAGACCGATTAAACTTTGTATCTTTGGGAGTTTGATAGCGGTTAGGAGGAAGAGAAGACTTCTGGTGATAATATCTACTATCACCATTACGAGTAGCTGGGATAGAGGTTTCATGTTTGTTCCTAAAGGTTCTTGAATCTCCTTATAGAGCCAAAGATCTCCTAGAATAATTCCCATTTGACAGCATTAAAGCCTTCCTATCTTGGATCTTGCGGGGAATGTCCTTATAGTGATGAGTTAACTGATGAGAATAACTGTCATTATTGTGGGAGAGACGCGCTCTTCTCTGGTCGTCATTGGCAGCCAACAACACTCGTCGGTTATCATCTAGCAACAGGCAAGAGTCCACTTTGTGACAAATGCGTCTGTAGTACGAGTACCAGCGGAGGAGTTTTTCATAAAAGATCTTGACTTTCACAACTTCTCCAGTTGGAATCTAAGCATTCTTGTTGAAGCAAAGTGGAGCATCTGCTTTAACAGAGACTTGTATTCTTCCTTTGTTAAGATCCACTCTGCGAACCACACCAAAGGAGTTTCCAAAATTTGTAAAGATTTGCTCTTCCCAAAGTTCTGGCGGAATGCCTTCAGTTCTAACCCAAAAGATCATTGAGTCTGGGAAAGCAGTTCCAGTGTGAGGTTCCCACCTTTCAAGGGCAAAGGATTATTTCTTGAAATGTCAGGGACGTTTGTTCAGAATTTTTTGTAGATCCGCTTCAGATTCGAAAAAAATTGGAAGTGTGAGTCGCCAAGAGAAACCCCATGAACTCTTCCTTCAACATCCTAGATATGCTCCTTGGGGAGAAGAGAGTCAAGAGCTTCAATGATGTGTCCTTCTTGGTGGAATATTCGCCCTACTAAGCTGAGATGGAGGCGAGCTAACAAAGCCGAGTTGTCCACTCGAGGGAGTACCACCATATCATTATCATCCTCAGGCTCAAAAGAAAAATGAGCTTCTTTTGGAGGAGATTCTCTATACCAACTTGGTTTTACTCTCTTTGCCAAAGAGAAGCTTGAGTATAGCAATGGATTAACCAAAAAGATCTTAGCTTAGAGCTAGAGAAGACTCAAGGGGGAGATATGGCTCTGTCTTCACTTTAAAAGACAGGAAACAAAGATGTAACCAGAGAGGCTTGAGAGAACAGACTGGAGCTTTTGCAGTCCAGTTTAAGAACATAGTCATCTTTTTAACATAGGAAGAGAGATTTTTGGGAACCAAGAAGAGAAACATAGCAGACGCTGAGGATGAGAACAAGACTGGGAAGGAGAAAGGGAGGAGGAGAATCATGCAAGGTCGGAAGCACGACAGGAGAGCATCATTGTGGAAACAGACTTGCCTTATTTGGTAAAAGAAAGTAGGTAAGATCCACTCTTTCAAACCAAGCTAACTACTTTGATGTTTCTTGGGTTTTGTGCCTGGGAGAGACTAATAAAGTGGGGTTTTTATATAGCTTTTGGAGTTGTTATCATAATCAATGAAGATGCACTCCTCACTTTTGTCATCTAGTTTGCTTCGCTTCTCATCCAGTAGTACATGAGCATGAGAAATGCTTCCAAAAACTCTTAAATGAGAAACACCAAGCTTCCTTCCGCTCCAAGCTTCTTGTGCTGTTTTTCCGGAGATACTTTTTGTTGGAAATCAGATTACTAGATAAACCTTACACACGATCGCTTCCGCCCACAAATATTTTGGTAGTCTCTTAATTTTGAGCATGCTTTTCGCCATCACAAGAATTGTTCTATTATTTACATCTACTACACCATTTTGTTGAGGGGATATTGGCACCGTTAATTGTCTTTGAATGTTGTTATCTTCACAATACATTAGAAATTCCTTGGATGTAAACTCTCCTCCACGGTTTTCATCACAAGACCACTTTCCTTCTCAACATGGACTTTATACTTTAAAGTTTTTGAACACCTCGGTTTTTTTTTCTAAAAGTAAACCTATGTTTTTCTTGAAAAATCATCAATAAAGAGAAGGAAGTGATTACTTTTACCAAGTGATTTCGACTTGATTGGACCACACACATCAGTGTGTATTAGCTCCAACGGTTTTTGAGCTCTTGAACTTGACTTTCATTTTGAATTGTTTTTTAAGTAGACATCCTTCACAAATTTGATTTGGATGATTGATGCAAGGTAGTCTTCTCACCATTTCTTTATTCGAAAGCAACTCTAATCCTTCTAAATTTAGATGTCTGAATCAAAGATGCCAAAGCTAAGACTCCTCCTTGTAGCACATCTTGAGATATTGTGCGATGTCTTTTCGAATGTTAAGGACAAACATTCTATTTTTTGGCATTGGTCCCTTGGTAATGAGAATGCTTTTTTGGACTCTTATAGAAAAGTAATTATCTTTTAATCTAATATCGTAACTTTTTTCTAAGAGTTGTCCAATGCTCAAGATGTTGGTCTTCATGCTTGAAATATAGTAGACGTTAGAAATAAACTGATGATTTCCATTCTTCAATGAGATGAGAATGTTTTTTTTACCTTTTACCTCTATCTTCGATTCATCTCCTAAAGCCACACTTTCTTTCACCGATACATCAAGCTCCGCGAACATACTTTTTCTCCCGCACATGTGATTACTTGCACCAATATTGAGGTTCCACTTATGATTCTCTTCACGTTCATCTTTCTTGTAACTAGCCATTAATAACACGTCTTCTTCTTGGATTTTTTCTTCAATATAGTTCGCCTTCTCCCCGACTTTTTTGTTGCTAGGAGCTTTGCATTCAGAAGCATAACGTCCAAACTTCCCACAGTTGACACTTGACTTATCATATCTTGATTTTGGGCTTCCTCTTCCACGATATCTTGATGAGTTTTCTTCTTTGGTTTGTGTTGTCTTCATACGACCTCCAACCTCATCCATTTCCATATCCATGACCTTGTCCTCGTACTTGACCGCTGATATAACACGGATTTTACTGGTTTTAACCATGATTTGCGTGTTAGTTTTAGAGTCTTTTTGTTGTTTCTAGTGTCTTTTTGAGTCTTTTCAGGTTTTTACATATTCAGGACGAAATTGGAGAAAAGGAATCATTCTGGAGCTAAACCGGAGATTTGGAGCTGAAGAGACAAAATCGGATTCGAACCAAGGCATTGGTGTCGACCGACACCCTTGGTGTCGCTCGACAACATACGCGGCCCAGCAAGAAATCTCGACGGTTTAGAGTTTTAAAGCCCGTAGAATTTACCCAGAAGACTTCTCTATTTGCAATTTTAGTCCCTGCACGTTTTTGGAGACTTTATAAATAGTTTTTAGGGTTTTTCAGTTTCTGTACCCGACAACTTTTGTCTTTTGCTTATGTAAGTCTCTGTGCTTGAACCCTTTGGAATATAATTGGAGAGAGCAACTTTTCAGAGATTCATTACCTTGTTAGAGAGAAGATTTCTTCTAAACCCTTTTCTTCTTTTGATTTCTTATTTTGCAATCTATTCAACATGTTTTCTGTTTCATTAATCATGTCTAAGTAATCTCCCTGTTAGGTTTAGGGATTCTCATTAGGGATTTAGATGAACTTGTAAATCAATTACCTATTAGGATTAATCCATAGAGTTCTTCATCTAGGTTGTTATTAATGTTTGTTCTAGAGTAGCTAACTAGAACCTGATCTTAGGATAGTAGGTATTTGATCCGAGAGGGCACCTGTTACTGGAACAAACTTAGATGAGCCTGGTTTATAGGTGTATAATAAGAATCGGCCTATCTACTAAGGTGAACATATCAAACCTGAATTTAATGCTAGTCTAGATCTAGGAATTCGCATCGAGAGGTGGAATTACTGATATTAGACTTGTTAGTTAGCGCATCGAGAGGTGGTTAGTTATTCATTAGTGATTTGAGTTCAAGAACGGTTCATTAAATAATCCTAATTAATTTGCTAGATTTACTAATAATTTATTTTCTGAGAATTTCCCTAAACCTGACGCTTTAATCCATTGATCTTTTCACTTGATAATATCGCTTGCTCGTGTTTCATTTTAATATTAATTATTTTGTTTAGCCTAATTTCGAGACTTATAACTTATTGTGTGAACAAAAGAACTTTGTGGAATTCGACCCTTAAGTACTGCAATAGATCTCTTATTTGAGAGAGTAGGCTTTAGGAGTTAATTTGAACCTTATCAAATTTGGTGCCGTTGCCGAAGTTCTTGGGAATCACCATTAAATTTTGTTTAGAAATTTTGTCTAGATTTTTCTTTTCTTTTGATACTCACGCGTTTCTTTCTTTTCTTTTTCTTGAGTTTCAGGTGCATGCCTAATCGCATAACCCGGAGCAGCAAAGAGAAGAACCTCGTCAATTTGTCTACACTCGACTTGGGAAAGTTAGAACGCACGAACCGCAAAGCTCGCAAAACATCAACAATGGTTCGTGGAGAAATCAGAGCTGATGAAGAAGGGGTTTTGAGAGATGATGATGGACAAGCCTACAATGAGGCTGGACAGAGATTGGACGATCAAGGGATTGTCATACCTGAGGATCTGATTGTGGATGATCCTAATATCCACAATCTTGCCGTTCCACCAAACGCAGTGGCAGCTCACGTCGATGGTGTCGCTCGACACCACCAGGGTGTCGCTCGACACCAACTCCCTGCGGACGTGCAGATCCGAGTTGGCCAGCAGGGCCAACAACAGCCGCCTGTCGCAGCGGCACGTCAGTTGACTCTTGGGGATTACAACAGGCCAGACCTGTTCTATGCTAATCGATCAGCGATCGTACCTCCCCCATTCCAGAGACATGACTTCGAGTTGAATCCCGCATACTTCACTCTTGTGGGTCAACATCCTTTCCATGGCTTCTCCAATGAACAGCCTATGGATCATATCGAGCGATTTGAGGACTTAGTATCTAGCATCAAGGCTAATGGAGTTTCAGATGACTACCTTCTCTGCAAGCTATTCCCATACTCACTTGCTGGGGAAGCAGCTTCTTGGTTAAAGCAGTTGAAGCCAGGATCTTTGACTAACTGGCAGAGTATCAAGATAGCTTTTCTCAACAATTTCTATGATGATGGCAAGTTTGAGGAGCATCGCAACAAGTTGTCTACATTCACTCAGGGACCAGCAGAAGCATTCAAAGCTGCTTGGGTTCGATTTAAGGAGTACCAACGAGATTGCCCTCATCACTGTTTCAGTGAAGTTCAGCTTATCGGTACGTTCTTCAGAGGAATAGATTGGAGATACCAGATGGCTCTTGACGCTGCGAGCAATGGTAACTTCAACACCAAGTACCCCATAGATGCTGTAGCTCTCATTGAGAATCTTGCTTGTAGCAACAGCACGAAGAACGCGGACTTCGAGAGAAAGAAGATTGCAGGCGCAATTACTGGTACTCAGTTCGCTAAGGTTAATGCCAAGTTGGATTCGGTCCACAGTCTCCTCACGGGAAAGAAAGCTGTTCACTTTGCTGCAGAGGTTGAGACTATTGAACCAGAGGAAGAATCTGAAGAAGGAGTGTTCTACATTGATGGACAAGGATATATGAAGTTTGGACCTCCTCAAGGCAACTTCAGTGGTCAGCGTTTCACAGGGAATCAGTCCAACTCCGGCTTCAACAACAGGTCAACATTTCAAAAGACATATCCGTAGACTAGTAGCTTCCAGAGGACCTACGGGAACACGATATACCAGAATCCACCTGCGCCCACTCCCGAGAGTAAGATGGAGACAATGCTTGAGCAGATTTTGGAGGGGCAAACTAAGCTTACAGTGGAGTTCAAGGGGAAGTTTGATGCCATCTACACTGATTTAAATGGCAAGATTGACACTTTGAACACTCATATTAAGAAGCTCGATGTTCAAGTTGCTCAAACTTTTGACGCTGTTAAGCGACAAGATGGTGTTCTTCCTGGTATGCCTGATGCTAATCCCAAGAGAACATGTAATGCGATTCTGATTCGTGATGGAGATGATGTTTGGGAAGAGTTGGATACTGAAGACGAGCTCGAGCTCGCAGCAGCAGAGCCGGTGTCGAGCGCCACTCGTTGGTGTCGCTCGACACCCGTCCGTTACCCGTGGAGAACGACGTTCGAAGAAGACATGTCGATCGACATAGCCTCCAACAGCTCGACTCAAATCCACAGTGTCGACCGACACCACCAGGGTGTCGTTCGACACCATCAATCCCTCCAGGAAATTTCGACGTTTGACGGAGAGTTGTCGACCGCTACAGTTTCTCCAACCTCGACACCGAGTACCAGTGTCGACCGAGACTCACCTAGTGTCGATCGACACTAGGTCAGAACAGCTCCTTATGCTCTTGTTTTCCCACCGACCAAGCCTGTTTACACGCCTCCGGTTCCTTTTCCCAGGAAGCGTCGCTCTAAGCAAAAGATTCAGGATGCTCGCTGCAAGGCCATCATGGAGAAGATCTTGACTTCTATTCCTAAAGTCAATCCCGAGACATCTTCTCCAACACTTGATCGATATGTCAAGCGTTTGGTAAACAACGGTATCTGTGCTGAGGAAGCTGTTTTGCTCACCAAGGATATCAGTTTGATTATGCTGCAGGAAGCTAAGAAAGAGAGGAAGAAGAGAGTGGTTGTGTCTGAACACGTTAGCTCGATTATCCAGAGTCGAATGCCTGAGAAGTTACCTGATCCAGGAAGCTTTGTACTTGATTGTTCCATCTCTACAAGCCGGTTCAAGAAATCGTTATGTGACCTCGGCTCTAGCATTAATCTTATGCCACATTCAGTTGCTGTCCGCCTTGGTATGATATCTTACAGGCCGAGAAGAATCACTTTGCTTCTCGCGGATCGTTCTAAGCGTATTCCCGAAGGAATCTTGGAGGATGTTCCTGTGAAGATTGGTGAATGCCTCATCCCTGCTGATTTCGTAGTGCTGGACTACGATGTTGAACCCAAGGATCCTCTTATCTTGGGTAGATCTTTCTTGGCCACAGCTGGTGCGACGATTGATGTGAAGAAGGGACAAATTTCGTTGGATGTTTGTGATGTGAAGATGAATTTCTACATAAAAGGACCACGTACACCTCCGATTCTCAGTGATAAGTCCTTCTCTGTTGAATCTACAAAAGAATCTGCGCAGGAATCACAGTCTACTACGCCAAAGGAGCCCGACAATGCTCAGCTCGCCATTCAGCCTTCTGCAGACGGACCGGTGTCGACCGACACCATTTGTGTCGATCAACACCCTCGACGACCAGAGACAACGCCTTCAGCAAGCATTGCTCTTGGGACTGCAAACACTGCCACAAGTTCGAGAGCTGTTCCTGAGCCATACAGAGCACCTCGCCCACGCTTTCCACGCCTTGATCAGCAAAGGTATTGCTCATCTCCTCCTCCTACTTTACCTTCTTCCATTAATCATTCCATATCTTCGAAGAAGGCTTCACAGGTAAACGAGCCACGAGATTCTCGCGTGCTTGTTTCTTCTGTTGTTGATGCAGGACATGGAACTACGGATGTTGCAGCCTCTACAAGTTTCCTTGGACATGAGCACACCTCCACCACTTACACTCCACCATGGCTAGCAAGGCGTCGCGCTTCTGAGAAGTCTTCAAACACTTCTCCTGCTCCACCTCAATCCTGAATCCCGACATAGTCAAGCTAATGACTGAAAATAAGCGCTTAGTGGGAGGCAACCCACTGGTATGTTTTTCTTTCTTTTTCTTTTACTTTTATTTTATTTTATTTTTCTTTCTTTTTCGCTAACTCCGGATTTGAATGCCACTGGGGACAGTGTCATTTAAGTCTGGGGGAGGCAGTTACTAATTATGTTTTTCTTTCTTTTTGAGTCTTATTTTTCTTTTTCTTTTGAGTCGTTTTATTGAGTCAAAATTTTGTTGGAAATTATGATCTTTTTCTCTAGATTATTGCCTGGTTAGTTTAATGCTGCAGATTCAAATCAGTCCGACTAATGGAAAATCCAGAGAGTTAATCGATAGACCAGAGGATATTCACGTTTCCAACATAATCCGCTAAAGCCTGAGCAAAGTTTATGCTCTTCACCTCGTCTGTAAGGTTAGTATTCGTAGAACTTGACTCCTCGTTCATACCTGATAAATGAGACCAATGTGGAAAAAGAATGGTGCTCCTCTCCCTTATTCTAAAAAAGAAAAAAAGAAAAAAAGAAAAAAAAGAAGAAGATTGAGATGATTTTCTTTTGGAGTAAAGAGATAGGAAAATTTCCCGTGATCTCATTATTTTACTTCAAGAGGGATGATCACACGAAGGTTGGAAGCGAGGTTAGGAAAATTTCCGATGGTACCATTATTCGCCTACACCTTTGAAGGTAAAAAAAAAATGGTTTGAAAAAGAATAAGTTTGGGGGAGAGAAAGAGTACCTAAATATGTTGTAATGGTTGATTTATCATGGTATAGTATGGGAATGAGTATAGAAGGTCTTGAGTACTGATTTTATTGATGAGATTTATGCGATGAGGGCTATAGGATATAGTTGTGCAATTTGGTTTGGAATTTGGAATGTTGAGAATGCTTGCGGAGAATTACATGGTGGTTAGGATTTGATGCAATCTGCTAGGCAATTGGATTTGTTTTGAATAATCAAGGTAATAGGCTAGAGAAATTGGGAGTTTCTATGTTTTCAAACTTCTTCCACGGGTTCGGTTTTTGTGTTTTGCTTGAGGGCAAGCAAAAGCTAAGTCTGGGGGAGTTGATATAACACGGATTTTACTGGTTTTAACCGTGATTTGCGTGTGTTAGTTTTAGAGTCTTTTTGTTGTTTCTAGTGTCTTTTTGAGTCTTTTCAGGTTTTTACATATTCGGGACGAAATTGGAGAAAAGGAATCATTCTGGAGCTAAACCGGAGATTTGGAGCTGAAGAGACAAAATCGGATTCGAACCAAGGCATTGGTGTCGACCGACACCCTTGGTGTCGCTCGACACCATATGCGGCCCAGCAAGGAATCTCGACGGTTTAGAGTTTTAAAGCCCGTAGAATTTACCCAGAAGACTTCCCTATTTGCAATTTTAGTCCCTGCACGTTTTTGGAGACTTTATAAATAGTTTTTAGGGTTTTTCAGTTTCTGTACCCGGCAACTTTTGTCTTTTGCTTCTGTAAGTCTCTGTGCTCGAACCCTTTGGAATATAATTGGAGAGAGCAACTTTTCAGAGATTCATTACCTTGTTAGAGAGAAGATTTCTTCTAAACCCTTTTCTTCTTTTGATTTCTTATTTTGCAATCTATTCAACATGTTTTCTGTTTCATTAATCATGTCTGAGTAATCTCCCTGTTAGGTTTAGGGATTCTCATTAGGGATTTCGATGAACTAGTAAATCAATTACCTGTTAGGATTAATCCATAGAGTTCTTCATCTAGGTTGTTCTTAATGCTTGTTCTAGAGTAGCTAACTAGAACCTGATCTTAGGATAATAGGTATTTGATCCGAGAGGGCACCTGTTACTGGAACAAACTTAGATGAGCCTGGTTTATAGGTGTGTAATAAGAATCGGCCTATCTACTAAGGTGAACATATCAAACCTGAATTTAATGCTAGTATAGATCTAGGAATTCGCATCGAGAGGTAGAATTACTGATATTAGACTTGTTAGTTAGCACATCGAGAGGTGGTTAGTTTTTCATTAGTGATTTGAGTTCAAGAACGGTTCATTAAATAATCATAATTAATTTGCTAGATTTACTAATAATTTATTTCCTGAGAATTTCCCTAAACCTGACGCTTTAATCCATTGGTCTTTTCACCTGATAATATCGCTTGCTCGTGTTTCATTTTAATTTTAATTATTTTGTTTAGCCTAATTTCGAGACTTATAACTTATTGTGTGAACAAAAGAACTTTGTGGAATTCGACCCTTAAGTACTGCAATAGATCTCTTATTTGAGAGAGTAGGCTTTAGGAGTTAATTTGAACCTTATCAACCGCCACCTCGTATTTGGTAATTTTGGCCATTTTCATTTTTAGTAATCCGCATCTTGAAGACTTGTTCAACGATATCTTTTTTCTTATTCTTTTCTTCATAAGCTTGTCAAATGAACCCAAGAAGTTGCTCCATTGTCATACCTTCTAATTCTTTTGTTCCTTCAATGATGGTGACAATATGCTCAAATTTTGGATCTAACGATTTAAAAACTGTCTCCATTATTCTTGATATACTCTATATTTACCGCTTTATCATGGTTGTTAAGATCCATTTTATTGTGTTTTATTAGTATTTTCATTTTGTTTTGTTGCATTTAGTGTCCAAGTGAGTCTTCTTACATTTTTGAAGTTCTATAGTGTATTTGTGTGTTTTTTGGTGTGTTTTGTGTGTCTTTTGAGCTATTTCAGGTTAAAATAATGGAGGAGACACATTTGGATGCAAAAAAAGAGAATTGATCATTCAGATTCAGTCCAAAAGTCTCTCAAAGATCGACTCGGATGAAGATCTTTCATTGAGATTTAGCTTTGGACCTCTTACACATTTGCCAACGCGTGATCGATTAAGAAACTAGGGCATTTCTGTTCTATCTTCTTGTGTCCCTTGTTCCAATGGGACTAAGAATCACAACCATCTCTTTTTTAAGTGTCAGTTTTCTGCTATAGTTTGGCATGCTTTTGCTTCTCAAATTATGCCAAATCCCTCATTGCATTCTCTCATCTCAGCCGAGACCACGATCTCTAGCTGCCATCATCATCAAGATGCTCCTTCAAGCTACTGCGTACTTGCTATAGAGGGAAAATAATAAGGATCTTCACTTCAGTTACTGCAACTATCGACGCATGTTGAGAGACTGATTTATTTCGCTTCCCCGGTGAAAAATTTGCGCTCTCCATCTCTTTTTATTTTTTAATTAGGTTGTATCTCTTCTTCTTTGTAATCCTTTTGTCTCTCTTCCTCGAGTTTCTGTTTTGTTATAAGTTTATTGTATTGGGTATATTTTGAAAATAAAAAGTCGTAAATATGTAATGTGTTTATAGGGTAAGATATAATATAGTTCTTAATTACATATTAAATATCATTTCAAAAATTTGTATACAAAACAGAAAAATATTTTACTGTTCTAATCCTAGTCTCTAAAAAATATACTCCCTCTGTTTCATATTATTAGTTGTTTTGCCTGAATGCACACATATTAAGATTTCTTTTGCTTTTTGTATTCTCTATAAAAACTCATTATTTTGTCTAAGCAATTAATTAAAGAAAAATTGATAAAAAAAAAAAAAAGAAACAAATGAAGGGAATGTGAAGAATCACACGGTGGATTTAACGTCACTTTTACCAAATTTATTTTGGAGCCAACATCTTTAAAATCAGTTTAAACCAAAAATTCAATATTTAACAATGGAGCCAAAACAAAAAAATTTAAAGTCTCTAATGTCTATATAAGCTTCAAAATAGAAATACTGTAATCATCAACTTTTTCCATGGCTTTTAATTTTGATTTAAATGTTTCAGTTCTAAATTGTGAGAATGAGGTTTTATTTGATTTAAATGAAATTCCATCAGAAGAAAATCATGGCAATGGAGATTTTCCAATTAATTCAGGTAACGGTTTTTTTTATTTTTTTTCTTAACAATTTGCAGAATTCTTTTCTAGCTTACAACATGATTAAATTATGTGAATTGTCTATTAGGAATCTGATCCAATTTTCGAGTGAAATCTGATCGTGTTTCGTAGATCCTTCTCACATCTCTTGAATAGCTTTTTTCTTCCTCCACTTTCTTTTTTTGATCCATTTTAGTTTTGTAGACAACGTTGGTTTGATAAGAAACTCAGAACACAAATTTACGTTGCTTTTATATAGTGATATATGGAAACAAGCTTCTTTGGAAAGAGAATAATGCAGTAAATATAGTTTGGTACGTTGGTGGACTTCATAAAAGACAATACTATTTCATTGACTTTTTTTTCTTGGTAATACGTGATTCAAAGCTTTGGAAGCTTTCAATAATAAAGTGAATACTAGTAATAAAGTGAATCTAAAAGTAAAAACTTTTTGTCTTCGTTTTGAAAAACAACTTACATTTTGAAACAAAAAAACCTCTAAAACAACTAATAATTTGAAATAGAGGGAGTACTATTTTATTGACTTTTTTTTCTTGGTAATACGTGATTCAAAGCTTTGGAAGCTTTCAATAATAAAGTGAATACTAGTAATAAAGTGAATCTAAAAGTAAAAACTTTTTGTCTTGGTTTTGAAAAACAACTTACATTTTGAAACAAAAAAAAACCTCTAAAACAACTAATAATTTGAAACAGAGGGAGTATATAAATAAAATTATAGAAATACTATTTGATACAAGAGACCTGTGATACATTAATAAATAGAAAGCACAATAAACTAGTGATGTTAAGTCAATTGTTCATCTAATTTGTAAACCATTAATACATGTCCAAATTTACATAACGGATTGTTCGATATAGAGAAGATAGGGTCCGGTTATGAACTTCTTAATCATTAAAAAATGCATAATTTAAAGTTAGAGACTGGTAATACGTAAGCTCATAGTCATAACTAACAAAATCATAAACAAGAGTTAGAAACCGGACCAAGAGTGAGCAAGAAATTTTAAGGGTGAATTAGCGCAGAGACATTATTGGGAGAGGAAATTAGCTAAAATACATTAGTAGAAATTCGTTTGAGACAAGACCCAAAAAAAGAATATAATTGGGCTTGAAGCTCCAGTTAATAACGAGAAAACCAGAGGTGCGTTTGGCCATGCATGTGGTTAAAGATTGTGTCTCTTAAGGGAACCGAAGGAACAACCTCCTATATAATAAATGCTGCCAGGTGAACTGACATTGCCGCGTTGACAAAAGGAACGAAGTAATCGTTAATAAATGCAACAGATCTTAACTTGAGCTAACTCAAATTTGAATATAGACAACTAACATAGTTGCATGGACACTCAATAAATAGTTTTTTGAATTTTTTAAACAACTAACCTAGTTGCATTGACACCTAATGAATATTTTACACGATTATGACATTTGTATACAGATAAACATATACATAGAGCGTTAGAAATAATTATTGTGTTAAATAGTGTGGTCTAAGTGTACATGTAAATATATATATAGATCGTTATTAGCATTTATATATATGTAAATACGTACATGGAGCGTTATTAACATTTGTATACATGTAACCACAAATATTTATTAGATATTCAATCTAATCGACGGGGGAGACAACATGCAAGATATATACATAGATTTACAAAATGTTTTGGACATCCACAACAAACAACAATTCATTTGTCTCACGCAATGGACTGATTCAAAGTCTAAATATCAGAAGCGAGTGGGGTTAAAATTAGACAAAAAAGGGGCTAAAATTATCGTCGTTCTGAGCCTTGTGTCAGATTACTAAAAAACTAAATAACTTCTCCAATAACGTCTCTCACCCAATTATCTCAAATTTTAAACTGCATAAAAAAAAGTAGTGCTAATAAAGGAAGATCACCACTAATAAACTCTCCGCATAAGGGAGTGTCTTGTAACGTCAGATTCATGCTGAGTATTCGATCAGTGATAATTTTGGACCATCTTGTTCTTCATATCTCCGGCTCATGTACATTGTCTCGAAGCATTTTCTTTGTTCTGTTTCGTTGTTGAAGCTCATTCATTTTTATGTTCTCACCGATTATTCATCTTCTTCTTTTATATTAGATCGGTTGTTTTGCCACTTTTTTTTGTTTTTGGCTATTCCACTAATTTATGTTCGATTTCACGGTCATTTCACGGTCAATTCTTCTTGTCAAACTGTTTTAATAGTGTATGTTTGCAATATTCCACGTCTTGCTCTCGAAAAACGGTTTTCTAATTTTCTTCTCACTAATAATTTTTGAATGTAATAACATAACAATTAGAAAAAATTCACTTAGCGCGATTTTTTATTTACTATAAAAAAAAAAAATTATTATATGCCACCGTCCAAACGAACTCAATTAGAAAATAATTATATATTGCAAAACGAACTCAATTAGAAGATAATTATTCTCTAATTGAGTTTGTTTGGACAGCGGCATAAAGTGATTTTTTCTAATTGTTATGTCATTACATTCAAAAATTATTAGTGAGAATAAAATTAGAAAAATGTTTTTCGAGAGCATATATATTTTTTGTTTTTGCAATCTATTATTATTTTTGTTTAAGTAATTTCAAACCGACTTTATTAGTGACAACAATGATTTTTCTATAATATGTATATATATATATATATATATATATATTATATATACCTTTTAAAAAAATTTGTTAAAAGATGTTCAAATTTTTCTCTTTTTAACTTATGATAAGGACAGATTATCAATGCTAGTAGATATGTGAAGTCTCAGGTTTGTTTATCACAACACGTGTAGGTTGGGATAATTTGGTTAGAAACGAAAATGTGCATTAACATTTAATGCTAATGGTGAGATATCTCGTGGTCGTGGCTATTGATGAATCATTATAATCAATGATGATTATAGACACACCTAAGATCTCCTGAAACGTAGACCATGCAAGTGTTAGAGTCTCACTCGTTCAAACAATTGATTTGTCCGTTTTGATCCAAAATTCAAAGGAAACAAGTCAATAACGATGGCTGAATGATACCGACACATAGTGTAAAAAGAAAGATACAAAAATGGGAACTTAAACGAACCATATCATATGCAAGCCCGTGGTCGGCAATAATTCCGGTCTTTCATATTTATACAAGACTAAACATCATCCTTTTTTTTGGCTAAAGGACTAAAAATCATCCTCTTTTTTTTGGCTAAAGGACTAAAAATCATCCTTCACATATTAGAAGAGAATTTTTAGTATTTACGTGTCAAATCCATAACTATTAATTTTCTTTTTTATTTATTTAATTCTATTATCTATCTTACCCATCATTTTAAATTTCAGATATTACTTATTTTTATTAACTAAACTTATCAAAATTTAATATCTCGAATTTTTAAATAAGAAAACTTCTATAGAAAGATTTTTTATATTAAATATATTATATTTTTCAGTTGAAAATTAAACAATATAATCATATAGTATATGCATATTAACATAAACAATTTTTTTTTATATTATAAAAATTTAAACTAAAACAGAAAATCTATAAATCTAAATTTACGAATAATGTAAATGCTATTTTTTTTGTATATATAGATCACTAAAATATTAATATCTTGTGAAAGAATCAGCAAAATATTGTACCCACCTCCGAGTAATGAATTACGAAAAGAAAATATGTTTTATCTTCATCTATGTGAAAGAGACAGTGAGACTTGCAGATTTGATCTAGTGAACTGCAAATCAATTCTTATACTAAGATTCTCTATGGAATTTTTGTATGTTTAATGAACTTTATAAGTGTTGGTGTATGCAAAACTCGATAGTCTCTAGGTTTTTGGTAGTATTTTCTTAAAACAAATCCCTAGCCAGTTTATACCATCTTCTTCTTTCCCCAACCCTATGAATATGAATAAGGAAACCAACAAACCATTTTATAAGGCAAACAGCGCAGATTATAATTCAAACTGAGAGACATTATATTAATATTATGAAACATTATTCCACACATTTCTGAAGAATGCATTACATAGTCACCATGGTTTATTTATAGGCACACACATAATCCATAAGTGTATATATAGATGCAATCATGCATGGTGGTGAATATATGATATAGTTTTAAACACCCGGCTGAGTCTGAACAGGTTCGTCGTTAAGCCCGTGGCCTCCTCCTCCGTGGTGTCCTCCACCTCCGTAGTGTCCGTGGCCTCCTCCACCTCCGTAGTGTCCGTGGCCTCCTCCTCCTCCGTAGTGTCCGTGGCCTCCTCCTCCTCCGTAGTGTCCACCTCCGTATCCGTCAAGTCCGTGGCCCCCTCCTCCGTTGTGTCCACCATGTCCTCCGTGACCACCATGTCCTCCGTGACCACCATGTCCTCCGTGGCCACCGCCATAGCCTTCAGGTTGCACAGTTTCCTCACTCTCTGGCTTCACCATGCCTGCCCAAAAAAAAACACGTTATTTAATTTCAATTACATTTTTAAGAACATCAAATATGAATTCCTCTTCCTGATTTCAATTTTGTTTCCCAGCTTAAATTTTTTTCTTAAATAGGTACATAAACTCGAAACTTTAGTTTTTATATATACAAAACTTACTAGGGCTTCCACATCACTTAGGTGATGTGTGTTCTGATAAATAGTTGGATAAATTTATCAAATATGGTACGTTAGTTAGAGTTTGATTAGCCTCACGAACATATATCTTGTTTATTTATATATATATATATATATATATATATATATATATCTTGTTTATTTTAGTAAACTGAAATGTATTGAATAATATGACGTACCCGACTGCCTTGCGGCAGACACTTCAGAGACGACGAGAAGAACTGCGAAGAGCCCTAACAGAATCAAAGCCTTGGAAGCCATTTTTTTTCAAGTTCTAATAACTCTCTTAGTATGTGAAGTAAGTGATGAGTAAATCGTTACGCTGCATGCCCTCTATTTATAGAAAATCGAAGAGGATAGGGAATGAGAAAAGTCAAAAAAATTACTCCGTAGTAGAATAAAAAGAAGGCAATATTTTATCAAAAGTAAAGTTAAAGGAAATTTATCATAATAGAAACAAAGTAGTAAGAAGATAAGTATCAGAGTTTTATTATAATACGTGTTGTTAGATTCATTGTAACCAAATATGAATCAATCAAGTACATGGCAACAGCGCATATAAACTTCTAGATATTTAGAATTCCTTTACTGAAACATTATTATCATATCAGATTGTTGTGTTTTTTTTTGTTATGTATATATGTTGTTATTATTATTTGGACAGAAAAGTCGTCCACTATTGATACTTGTTAAGGATCCTTCTTCTATTAATCTCTGCCGACAGAGGGATAAAGACAAAACTATACACTGAACAAGAGTAAGTAGCATAAAGGAGTACTACGTAGAAACTACTGAGAATTTATTTTAGACCCAAGGTGCAAACGTGTTGCTTGGCTATCGTGAATACTATAATATTATCCAAGTCACTGGGTGTAGTCATGTATCTACCACTTGCTACTTGCATTTGACTCAATAGTGATTTTCTTAGCACTTTTTTGGGGCTAATTTGTTACATCATTGTTTATTCTCTCTATGTAAAGAAATTACTATGTGAGATTAAGACAAGCGACTTGTGATTTAAAAAAACAAACAAACTGGTAATGGTAACACTATACATATACCGATATACGAGTTCGAGTACACGCCACTACTATTCACATAGCTTTCTTTTTTTTTTTTTTTTGGTAAAAACTATTCACATAGCTGATTGCATGAACTCCTAAAGTGATACGCGGACCAAGTCCAAGAGAGAGCATGCAATTTAAAATTACAAGAAAATACTAAAATAGTGATGCTAAAGTATCACCCATGAAGTGAAGCGATCTAGTTGCCTTTTTCCGCATTTTCAGACGTGGCCAATAAACCTTGCTTTTTTTCTTTGACAGAGTCAATTTCTTGTTGTTATATCCTTTCATGCTTATTGTAAATACTAGGACTCCGGACCCCCGCGATGTCGCGGGGGAAAATATTTCAAAAATCGTTAAAAAAAAATATCAAACGAAAATTAATAATAACGATGGTAGATGATTAAATGTTATAACGATTTATAAAATAAACTTAAAGTTGCAATTTTTCGTGAAATAAACTAAATGTTGCAATGGTTCAACTAAACGGCTGCAATCATTTTATGAAAAATTACGATAAAAAGATGCAACCGTAAAAAATATTTACTCGGATTGCAACTTTCTCAAAAAACATAACGTAAAATAATTTTTTTAGTTTAAAAAGAAGTAAATGAAATGTTGCGATATATCAAAAGTTGTAGCGGTTCGTCAAGTTCGTCAAAAAAACGAAAGATTACAATGGTTTGTAAAACAAAACCAAAAATTGCAATGATTGGTCAAATAAACCAAATGTTTCAACGGTTCAATTAAACGATTACAATCTCATTTAAATGCATTTTGGTAATTAAAAATTAAAAATATTAGTTTATGAAAATTATACCGAGAGACGCGACGGTAGATAATTAGATGTTATAGCAATTTGTAAAATAAACCAAAGGTTGCAATTTTTCGTGAAATAGACTATTATCGTAATTTTTGCAATCGTTCGTGAAATAAACTAAATATATAAATCAAATGTTGCAATCGTTCGTGAAATAAACTAAATATATAAATCAAAGGTTACAATTGTTTGTGATATAAACTAAAGGTTTCAATTGTTCGTGAAATAAACTAAATATTGCAATAATTCAAATAAAAGGTTGCAACTGTTTATGAAGAGGTACAATAAAAAGAAGCAACAGCAGAAGATATTCGGATTGCAATTTTCTAAAAAACATACCCGTAAAATATAAATTTTAGTTTAAAAATTAAAAATATATCCATATGTAAACTATGAAATAAACCAATTTTATATGTAGTTTATTGGTTTACGACAAAAAAAAATTCAATAAAACAACCGTACAAAAATAACTGAAAACAACCATAAATATTTAAACGAAAGATTGCAATAAAAAGACACAACCGTTTAGATGTACAAATGGTATTTATTGGAAACGACATAGCCGTAAAAAATAACCGATTAAACGAAAATTACGATAAAAAGACGCAACCAAAATAACCGTAAAAAAATAACCGATTTAAACGAAAAGTTACGATAAAAAGACGCAACCGTTCAGATGTGCAAATGGTATTTAGCCGTAAAAAATAACCGACTAAAACGAAAATTACGATAAAAAGACGCAACCAAAATAACCGTAAAAAATAACCGATTTAAACGAAAAGTTGCGATAAAAAGACGCAACCGTTCAGATGTGCAAATAGTATTTATTAGATTTCTATTATATATAGATTATCTAGAAGGTTAGGTGGTAAACAAAATTTTGGAGTAAGATTTTTCCATGCATATATTAATTTATGAGAAGGACGAAAAGAATAAAAAATGATATGCGAAGAGCAATCTTTTGAACCAAAAAAGCTCTCTCTTTCAAAAGCGATGGTAGAGCCTCTAGGGTTTTAAACCCGACGATGAGGGGTTTTGATCGGGTACTCTATGTACGGTTAATCTTTGGTTTTCGTTGGATCTCTATTTGGCTGCTCTTTGTTATTCGGGTTTTCTTGGTGGATTTTGTGTTCATTTCGGTTTCGTCAAATTTCAATAATCTCGGTTTTGATTTGGAGGTTTTGGGTGTAAGATGCAATTGGCTTAGTTTATGGGAAGAAGAGAAAGATCTGATTGTTTTTTGAGATCGGAATAGGGTTATTACGACTGTGTGTGGTTTCGGTAACGGGATTGGATCCTCAGCCCAAGGTAGATTCGAGCAGATCCAGGTTCGATTTGGTGACTTTCCATGGCGATTTGTAGTGGAAATCACTACAAGAAATATGCACATTGTTAGCGCGGAAAATATGCTATAATACATATAAGATAGCGAATTCACTAATGCTATGACATCGGCAGCTATGGTAGGTGTTAGACATACGATAGCATTTTTTTGAATGCTATGATATATACAGATACTATAGCAAAATTCCAACGCTTTTATTTATTCTTATATAGCACCTGAATTTTTGTTATCATAGGGCATTCTACAATATCAATTATATACTGCAATAATATATATTTGTCTAGCATCATGTTTAGTGCTATAATATATGGTTATACAATAGCTCTTAAAAAATGTTACATATAATTTAGTTATTGCATTTATATATGCTATTATACTTTCTTTGAAAACAAATATTTTAATGCTATGATTTAAGTATAGAACTGTTTCTTATTTTGCTATTTTAGGTGTTTTCAGAAAGCTATATACTTTAATCCTGTCATATTGCATACTATAAACAAGAACATATAGATATAAAAGTCATTTCACATAAATATGATTCCAATCCAACATACAAAAGTCTAGAAAATCATTCATCTTACATAACACAAGTCCTAATGCAAAATACATAACACAATTCATAAAAAGTCATAAGTTGATGATTAGCTTAGTCTTAAACTTAATTAAAACTAGCAAACCTGGACCAAAGTTTCTTCATTCCCCTGCAACAAACAATCTTATATCAGATTTGTGATATCAATAGGATCTCGATTTAAAACCAAAGCACAAGCATCACACTAATTACATACCTATTCTTAAACTCAGAAGATGACCAACTTATCCATTGGCCATGCAATAGATGAACCAAGTGCATCTCTCATGTACTCGATTTCATCTGATGGCCTCCAAACCGCTTCATCATCTATCTTCACTATATCAACCCATACTCTAGCTGTATTTGACCCCAAGCAAACATAGTGGACCTTAGTGTCTAGGTCGACTGAATGCACACGTCCTTCAGCAACAACCTGCTTCCTTCCACCAATATCCATCAACTTGCATTTCTGTTTTTCTTTGATGACCTCAGCTCCATTTATACGCTGCCATGGTTACAATATAAAATCAGTTTATAACAGAGAGAATAATAACCAGAATTAACTTCATAGCATTTTAAAAAGATTTACCATTGATCTTCGAAGAGGGGATTGTGAAGCTAGTTGAGTTTTCCTTACAGGAGATTTTGGACATGCTGTTGGAGACTTCTCAGCAGGAGGTTTTAAGAATGTTGTTGCAGATTTTGAACCTGATGCTGTAGATCTTAGACCTGTTGCTGCTGATTTTGAACCTGATGCTACTGATTTCTGAGGTGCAGCAGAATTCTGAAGAAGAGATTGCTGACCTGTTGCATCTGTGGTGTTTTCAAAGACAACTTTGTTCGCAGGCCATGATACAAAAGACATTAAACAGTCCTCAATATATGTTATATCTATCGTAGGCCTCCAGATAAATGTATTATGTTGATGTACCACATCAACAAATACTTTCACTGCATTTGGTCCGAGAGTAAGCCCATTTACTAATGCATTCTGTTCTTGGGTCTGCCAACGTCCTTCAGCAACAATCACAGCATCTGAAGTCAAATCCAGTAGCTTGCATTTGTTCGATGAATTACTTCTTTGGCCCTGTCAAACACATTCAGACAACATGATCATCATACATATATATTCTTGTACACATGAGACTGAACAATAAACTTACCAGTGGTGCAATGTCTTCTGATTGGAGCTCCTGTTCTAGGTTAACACACTTAGAGGCAGGCCAAGCAATCATCTGTCCAACAACTTTCTCAATTGTGAACATGTTAATCGCAGGTCTCCAAAGGAATGCCTCTGGTACAATAGCAATCTCAACCAAAACTTTAACATCTGTAGGACCTAAGCGACTATCATTCACTAAGTCATTCGGATCAGAAGTAATAATACGCTCCTCAGCAACATTTGCATCACCACTAGTCCAGTCAGTCAAGATACACTTTGGTTGTGATCTTTTGTTGACACTCTATAAAAAGATTAATATAATAAATAACATAGTATATAGAAACAAAGAAATCACACATCTAATATAAATGTCTTACTCTAGCTGCAGCTGAGTTTCACCAACTTCAGAATCTTGTCTCTGTTAAAAAAACAAAAAACAAAGTCAAATATTGTGTAATAACGCAGCAGTTTAATGTACAAATAGAGAAGTGTCTAACCTGGCTCTTCATTTTTTCAATTACATCTTGTAACTCATTGACCTTATGCTGGAGATTAGCTTGTTTCTCTTGCATTTCATCCATACATTTGTTCTTCACTTGGAAACAAGCTAATTTGGTCTTAGTCATGTTTCTACACATTACCCTCAATCGACCAGGATTATCAGGTCTTAATAGTTGGCTAAGTGAATCTTGTGCTTCAAATATCGCAGATGAAGGAGCATCACTATTAACAATCTCAGCTGCCTTTCTCTGCAAATCACAAGATACAGATTTAAATGTTATTATTTATGTCAAAGGAAAACTAAAAGAGAGAACCACAAGTGTTATTCTATTCCCAACATGCAAATCTTAGTAGCAAAATTGTATAACGATCACAATCTTTTCAGCTGCATTTGTATTAACTGGTGTACCATCTTTTCTGGTACGTGACTTGACCCAGACCTTAAGCCTTGACACTTCACCTGGATTTGAACTCTCTTTTTTCTAAACCAGCAAAAAAAAAGTTAGATTGAATAAGTCTTTAAAATTAAAGTAGACTGATGAGTTTAAATAGCATAATTATAGTATGATTGCCATTTCTTCTGTTAGTCTAACCATTCCTTTGCGGCTAGTGGTATGAGAAATCGGTTTGCGCCTTTTTCTTTATAGCTATCGCTCACAACCTAACAGAGTAATTGTATTATGTAATCTACTATATAAGAAATAAACTTAGCTAATTCCAAATGAATACCTTGAATTCTTTGCTAGTTTTGAGCTTCATAAATTTACGCCATTCAAATGGAGAAACATTCTTAGGTCGCAGATTCATCCTCTGTTGGTTAGTCTTGGCTTTTCTAATCTTGAAAACTACAGAACATATATGATACACACAAATCAAAATGAGAGAATAAAGAGGTAAAATATTTATGATTCTCCCTATCAGACATCAGACATATCAAAGGACATCTATAAGTGAAAATGATGAAGAAGCTACATTTCACACATATATTCCTTCACAATCAGTTCTCTCATTTTCTGCTTCATCCAAGTCAACACCCATGTCAATATTGGCTGGTAATGGACTAATGTCTGCATTTCCAGCTTGAAAATCTTTCTGACTGAATCTTCTTGAAGGACCTCTCATAGCAACATACCAACTTGATGACTCGTCTTCCCTTGAGTAAAAAACTTGCTTGGCTTGAGAGGCTAATATGTATGGATCCCTTGAAAAACTAACTTGACTATGATTCAGGTTAACAAGTGTGAAACCATCTTCTTCTTTTACTCCATTGCCCTTCACTGCCCATTGACACAGGAATAAAGGAACATAAAACACATTATAGTCCAACAAGATAATATCAGTTACTCTCCCGTAGTAAGATACTAAATCCACCACTTGTGAAGTGTCCTTAGCACTAGACCTACAGATTGCCGTAGCCCCATAAAAAACACCACTATTCTGACTTTTTCTATCTACTGAACTTGTGTGAAACCGCTGCCCATTGACTATATAACTTGTATATGACCGTGCATAACTACGTGGACCAAATGCCAACCATTTAAGTGTTTCTTCATGTCTGTTTGAATCAAGAGGTATCTAGCAATATGAAAGAATTAAATGTCAGACACTTGGGAAGTAGAACAGGTCAGATATTCAGATAAACTAATACTAGCATGTGCTTTTAGCCAAGAGGCAAAATTTTGATTATGCATACTCCATAATGTTGATGCATCACGTCTACATCTTCCATTTGAGTCTTGTAGATGTTGCAGATGTTCACTTGTAAGTCAAAAGGAAAATAAGAAGGAATCAGCTGTAGTGAATTCATATACAGAAATGTTAAATGAATTAGCTAGAAAACTGTGGAACTTACTCCGCATAAGGATCAACCACAGCCATATTTTGGATGACAGCCATATGGGCTATTTTCTTCTCCATTTCAGAGAGAGAAATTGACTTTCCTGTAGATATAGGACGCCCCTCAAGAATAGAGTTATTCTCATACTCAGTGTTTCTATCTGCCTTCTCTTGAACATTTGTCGTCTTCTCCCAAAATTCATTACAAAACTGGATGCATTCTTCAGCAAGATAACACTCACCAATGCACCCCTCTGGTCTTGCAGTGTTTCTGACAAAGTCTTTCAGGACTTTCATATACCTCTCGAACGGGTACATCATCTAAAATGAACCAGTCCACCTAGTCTAGCTTCCCTTCCTAAATGTACCGTCAAGTTTACCATGATATCAAAGAAACTTGGAGGGACAAATCTTTCAAACATGCAGAGAGTTTCAACAACCTCAGCATCCAATGTCAAAATTTGCTCCCTATCAATTACTCGCTGACACAAGTGGTTGAAGAATGAGCATAAGCGTACAATTGCTACCCTAGGACCTTTAGGTAACAAACCTCTAAGTGCAATGGGAAGAAGCTGTTGCATTAGCACATGATAATCATGTGATTTCAGCCCTGTGATTGCGAGTATTGTATCGACATTATTGCATTGTGGGAAATCTAAAGATAGTCTTGATGCTCGTAAAGATCTGGATGAGCTTGGAATTAGGAAGGAATTGCACCCTGAAACCAAATGAAAAAGGACTTACTTACCAGCAGCAATGTGGTCTTTATCCAAGAAAGAAAAGAAGATTTTTTGTTGGCGACTTTTTGACTTCAAAGGCCCGGATGGATATTGCTCAAACATATCAAGAGGCGTATCAATCCACAATATAGTCAAACTTTGTCCGATCCTGTCAAGAATATTTGTGGTGATTATCCAATTTTTTTTTTGACAAAAAGCACAATTTATTTTGATATTTTCTCCGTGTCATAGGTAAGAATATACATAACTGTATATGTGCCTTCTATACATAATCGAGCAAAATACAATAACAATGACTTCTCAGAAAAGAAATAGGGTAATTTCCAATTTTTCACTCATGATTCATTGTTGTAAAATATTTTTTTTTTGTTGAGTTATAAATTTTATTTTAATAAAAAGATTAGGAAATATCAAAACAGTTCCTAATTTTTATTGACTCTATATTTTAATTACCAAATTTTGTTGACTCAGCCAAATTAGTCTTGTTGTTAAGTAGGTTGACGGAATATTTTTCTTCTTTTACAATTTATGTCCTCCCACGCTGCATCTAATTGAACCACCCTCAACCAATATTGAAGAAAGCGCTAGGCGGTAAGTGGGCAGTGGCCCAACACCTAATGCTTACAATGTTTAATCATGGTCTATTTGATTTTAGGCGATTTACACGTATATAACATAAAATATTATATATATGATATTATAGATAAAACTATACAAAATAATATATTAGAAAATAAAAATATTAAATCGTAAAAAAGTTAGACAAAAATATTTTTTTAATTTATATCAAATAACATATAAACATTTATAATCATGTATATGAATGTTAAACTTATAGATCTAAACCCACATAGTTGGAAAATAAAAAATAGCATTAAAACAAAACTTATATAATTTTAGACGGTTAAAGAAGTTATCTAAATTTTATGTGCACGTCTAGTGTCTAGACGAATTCTACGATCACCTAAACCATTTTTTAAAATACTATAATGACTTTGACTAAATAGTTCTTGTAGATCTTTTTAACGTTAGTCAATATGAGCTCAATCAAAAGAGGCCTAATTGCTGTAAGAATCTAAGAGTTTTCACGAAAGGCCGAAACATTTTGCAAATAAAATAGGCCTTTTGGCAAAAAATTATAGATGTATAGTAATTTACTAAATGTAGTAGATACTTCTTATCTCTTTCGTCCCCCCAAAAAAAAAGCTCGTCCTCCCTTAGTCCCTCTCAATCGACTTTTCTCGTATATATTTGATCGAGGCATTAATGTAAGTTCTTGGTGTCACTGTAAGAAAAGTGAAGGTCCACTGATTTAAGGGATTTCTGGGTATGAAGAATTCAAAATCATCTTAACATCTTGTGAGAGAATCAGCAAAATATCGTACCCACCTGGCCACCTCCGAGTAATGAAAAGAATATATGTTTTATCGTCACCTATGTGAAAGAGACAGTGAGGCTTGCAGATTTGATTTAGTGAACTGCAAATCAATTCTTATACTAAGATTCTTATATGAATCAAGAAACGTCCTACAAACCATTTTTTAATGCAAACAGCGCAGATTATAATTCAAACTGAGAGATATTATATTAATATTATGAAACATTATTCCACACATTTCTGAAGGAACTGCATTACAAAGTCACCATGGTTTATTTATAGGCATACACATAATCCATAAGTGTATTTATAGATGCAATCATGCATGGTGGTGAATATATGATATAGTTTTAAACACCCGGCTGAGTCTGAACAGGTTCGTCGTTAAGCCCGTGGCCTCCTCCTCCGTGGTGTCCTCCACCTCCGTAGTGTCCGTGGCCTCCTCCTCCTCCGTAGTGTCCGTGGCCTCCTCCTCCTCCGTAGTGTCCGTGGCCTCCTCCTCCTCCGTAGTGTCCGTGGCCTCCTCCTCCGTAGTGTCCACCTCCGTATCCGTCAAGTCCGTGGCCCCCTCCTCCGTGGTGTCCTCCATGTCCGTGGCCTCCTCCGTGACCACCATGTCCTTCAGGTTGCACAGTTTCCTCACTCTCTGGCTTCACCATGCCTGCCCAAAAAAAAACACGTTATTTAATTTCAAATACATTTTTAAGAATATCAAATATGAATTCCTCTTCCTGATTTCAATTTTGTTTCCCAGCTTAAATTTTTTTCTTAAATAGGTACATAAACTCGAAACTTTAGTTTTTATATATACGTTCGAAAACACAATTTACACAAAACTTACTAGGGCTTCCACATCACTTAGGTGAAGTATGTTCTGATAAATAGTTGGATAAATTTATCAAATGGTACGTTAGTTAAAATATATATATATATATATTTTTTTTTACGTTAGTTAAAGTTTGATATGCCTCACGAACATATATCTTGTTTATTTTAAGACTGAAATGTATTAAATAATTTGACGTACCCGACTGCCTTGCGGCAGACACTTCGGAGACGACGAGAAGAACTGCGAAGAGCCCTAACAGAATCAAAGCCTTGGAAGCCATTTTTTTCAAGTTCTAATAACTCTCTTAGTATGTGAAGTAAGTGATGAGTAAATCGTTACGCTGCATGCCCTCTATTTATAGAAATCGAAGAGGATAGGGAATGAGAAAAGTCAAAAAATTACTCCGTAGTAGAATAAAAAGAAGGCAATTAATATTTTATCAAAAGTAAAGTTAAAGGAAATTTATCATAATAGAAACAAAGTAGTAAGAAGATAAGTATCAGTGTTTTATTATACGTGTTGCGTCGGGCCCCTTATGGTCCGTTGTTGGATTCATTGTAACTAAACACAGCGCATTCATAAACTTCTAGATATTTAGAATTCCTTTACTGAAACATTATTATCATATCAGATTGTTATGTAAATATGTTGTTATTATTATTTGGACAGAAAAGTCGTCCACTATTGATACTTGTTAAGAATCCTTCTTCTATTCTCTGCCGACAGAGGGATAAAGACAAAACTATACACTGAACAAGAGTAAGTAGCATAAAGGAGTATTACGTAGAAACTACTGACAACTTACGTAGTAAGTAGCATAAAGGTGCAAACGTGTTGCTTGGCTATCGTGAATACGAATATTCTTGCCTGAAAAAATTGCTTGGCTATAATATTATCCAAGTCACTGGGTGTAGTCATGTATCTACCACTTGCTACTTGCATTTGACTCAATAGTGATTTTCTGAGCACTTTTTTGGGGCTAATTTGTTACATCATTGTTTATTCTATCTATGTATAGAAATTAATTTGTGAGATTAAGACAAGCGACTTGTGATTTAAAAAAAACAAACAAACTGGTAATGGTAACACTATACATATACCGATATAGGAGTTCGAGTTCTACTCGCCACTACTATTCAGTATTCACATAGCTGATTGCATGATATAGAGACTAGAGAGACTAGGGTCCAAATGGGTATGAACTCGTAAAGTGATTAGCGGACCAAGTCCAAGAGAGAGCATGCAATTTAAAATTACAAGAAAATACTAAAATTGTGAAGATAAAGTATCACCCATGAAGTGAAGCGATCTAGTGATGATAAGAAAATACTAAAATAGTGATGATAAGTTTCACATTCACGGCTCAAAGGCCCTTTTCCCACATTTTCAGACGTGGCCAAGAAACCTTGCTTTTTTTCTTTGACCCAGTCAATTTTTGTTATATCCTTTCATGCTTATTGTAAATATTATATATCTAGAAGGTTAGGTGGGATAACAAAATTTTGGAGAAAGATTTTTCCATGCATATATTATTAATTTATGAGAAGGGCGAAAAGACAAAAAAAATGTTATGCATATAAGTGGATGTCAGAATTTAGACGTTCACGTAACCATTAATGTGTTTTGAATTAGGTAAAAGTTAGATGGAACGAAAATATGGAACTAACACTATTTTGATGTGATGTGTTTTGAGAGAAATATGACACATAGATATCAAGAACCTAAATTCGCTTGAAATTATCATCATTTGCAATTGTATACAAGAAAAAAAAGTTGTGAGGTTTCTAGGAAATTCTTAAGTATATTTTAGTCTCTATATATTTAAATATGTCAAGTTATGATTTAACATCGTTAAATGATTATGTAACACCAGTTAACGGCTGTTAAATTACGGGTTCCCATCCACAAATAATTTAAATAATGTGTTTAGACCAATAATATTTAAATGAGGTATTTTATTCCAACCAAAAATATTAGGTATTAAACATCTAAATTAAAAATATTTGGGGTTTTTTTTTGAAATTTCCCCTTTAAAATTAAATTACTAACTAAATTAGAGTAACTTTATTCATCTAGCAAATAATCATTTTTTGGTGTTTAATAAAAAGTCATTTCTATTGGTTCTACGATTTCATAGATATATAGAGACTAATACAATGCAAGTAATTGTTTGTAATCAACTGAATCATATTTTAAAATATCACTAACAAGATTATATCAATAGCCAATAGGAACGGCTTATGTTATGTCATAATTTAAAAGCTCTAGGGTAACAACAACATTATCCCCTTTTAGTTTAAAAGCTTTTACAATACCATTTTTCAAATATATCCCCTATCAACAATATTTTCAAAAATATTTATTTTCAAAAATGCTCTTGAAGTTTTAGGTGGCGCATATGGTGGCAGACCTCCAAATAATTTTTTTCGTGTTCTCCTTGATTGATAATCAGAAGGATTTTTTTTTTTTTTTTTTTTTTTTTTGTGCAAATGATAATCAGAAGGATTTAAGGTACAATAAACTAAGCTGAAAGAAAATGAAGAAATCTCCTCAACCTAAAGCCCAAAATAGAGAAATATAATCCCAAAAAAAATTTAAAAAAATCTTTGGAAGGTAACGCCCAAAAGAAGAAAATAAGGAAAACAAAGAAATTGGAGCAAAATTAAAAATTAAAGGTAAAGATGATAGATCAAAGCATTAAAACTGATATACTGAAACGAACATCATAACTCAAACTTTTCTATAGAATTCGGTAAAGCCAAAGCTGCAACAAAAGAAAAAAGACGGAGAGCCCAGAACTAGGAAGCTTCTGGGAGGTGAGGGAACCCGAACGACGGTAGAACTCAAACTCATAGCTAGAACAACAAAGGAAGAAAAAAAGGCGTGACAACAACGTTCTATCATCGAGAAAATACAATAAATACGAGCCATTTATTCTAGGTATGTACTTATGTATACCAACCATTTATTCTTGATATCATATATATAAATCTCATACTAATTTTTTATATGTGTAACTTATGTAAACAACCTTTAAAGCAGATCAAGTTTGTTATATTCCATATCCATATACAAAGAAACCGAAGCAAATTTGGCTCAATGTTCTAAAAGTGAATCCAAGAGGAAACATTTCAGAAGAATATAAAACCAATGATCCGACTCTTTTGCAAACAGAAAATGATGATGCTGTTTTGAGGACTACAATTGAAGATCTTGTACTAGACAATCCGGTAGAGAGATCAAACCCAATACTCCTCGATTACGATGTCTGCGATGCTGAACCAGAAGATGAATTCCGGTGCAATTTATCGTCTTCTGATGAAGAAGAACCAGAAACCGGTGAACCTTACTAAATATTTTCTATATGTTCGTACTTGTTTTTTTTTTTGTATGAAATTATTTGATACTAGGACTTAGACCCCCGCGATGTCGCGGGGGAAAAGATTTCAAAAAGTTTTAAAGAAAAAAATATCAAACGAAATGTCATAATGAATTGAGATAATAAGTTCAAAAAAAAAAAATTTAACAATAAATAAAGATATATTTTACAAAAAAAATATAATAAAGAGATGTAAATCCTCAAAAATATTTTTTAAGATTTGTATTATTATTAAAAAATATTATGGGGAAAAGATGCGATCATAAATAAAAAATATTAAAGAAAAAGTTATAATAAGTAGATGCAATTTTTCAATTTTCTAAACTATTATAAATATAACTATATAAATATGTTCATCAAAATATTACGATAAAAAGACGCAATAATCTAAATTGTATTATGTTAAAAAGAGATAATCTTCGAAAAAATTTAACAAATAACTAAAATAGTTAATTATTTAGGAAAAAATAATAAAAAAATATAGATAACAAAGTATATACATGAATGCTAAATAGCAAAATATGTAACTTTCTATGAAAAATATCAAACAAAAGGAAAAAGACACAATTATTAGAACCAAGCGTTTGTAATGAAAAACACGAATAAAACATGGCAACAAGATAATACTTTGAATGAAGAGATATAAATTCAGTTAATGCTCTCAAAAATATATTACAAAAGACAAAAGGCAATGTTGCAACAGTTCATCAAATATATCTAAAGTTGTAATAATTCATCATATAAACTAAAATTGCAATGATTCATCAAATATATCAAATCTTGTAAGGGTTCATCAAATAAACCAAAAGTTACAACGGATCATCAGATAAGCCAAAATGTTCATTGGTTCGTCAAATAAACCAAATGTTAATGTGTTCTATTAAACGGTAGCAACATATTCATTTATATAATAATTAGAATTAAATTTTGAACCAAATGTTGCAACGGTTCAATTAAACAGTTACAATTTTATTTAAAATATATTTTAGTAACTAAAATTGAAATAATAGTTTATAAAAAGTTACACCAAAACACGTGACTATAGATAATTAAATGTTATACCGGTTTATAAAATAAACCAAGAGTTGCATTTGTTCGTAGAATAAACTAAATGTTGCAATGGTTCAACTAAATGGTTGCAACCGTTTACGAAAAGTTACGATAAAAAAATGCAACCGTAGAAGACATTTATTCGGATCGCAACTTTCTAAAAAAATTCAACCGTAATATATATATTTTTAGTTTTTTAAAATTAGAAGTTTTAGTAATTTATAAAATAAATCAAAAATTACAATTGTTCGTTAAATAAAGTAAATGTTGCAATGGTTCAACTAAACAATCGCAATTGTTTATGAGGTGTTACGATAAAAAGATGCAACCGTAGAATATATTTATCAGATTGCAACTTTTTGAAAACAACAACCGTAAAATATATATTTTAGGTAAAAAACCATAATTTAAATCTATATAATATGAGACGTAACTTTAAATGAATAGATGCAACTATGAAGACACAACCGTAAACTAAAAAGATACGACTGTAATTGTACAAATATAACTGTAAAAAACCGTAAATAAGTTAACGAAGAGATGCGATAAAAAAACACAACCATAAAAAAAATAACCGTAAATATTTTAACGAAAAGATGCGATAAAAATACACAACCGAAAAAAATAACTGTAAATATTTAATTGAAAGCTTGCGATAAAAAGACGCAACCGTTCAGATGTGCAAAAGACATTTATTAGATTGCTATTATATATAGATTAATTAAGTTACTTCAAACTATATGTATGACTTAGTTTAATGCTTATTTTGGTTATATGTTAAGTTTGTTTAATTATGGTTATATGTTAAGGTTATCTACTTATGGTTATTATGTTTTAAATAAACAATGCGACATTTTACCATCTTTTTAACGACTATATCACATTATGCGACTAATTGCCGTCTAAATAACGACTATAACAAATTTGTTAGCCCAAGCCCAATAACACACAACCGAGATTATATATTTTAACTATGCGACTAATTGCCGTCTAAATAACAACTACAAGAACTTTTATGGGCCAATTACTCGCCCAAGCCCAATAATAGACGGAACCGAGAACACATATTCGTAACCCTAACCCTAATTCCCTCATTTCTCCGATTTCGATCTTCTTCTTCTTCCCCAATTCTCTCTGAAAACCCTAACTCTTCTTATCTTATTCTTCCCCAAATCGATCGACTTCTTAGTTTTATTCATCTCCTCTTCTCAATCTCTCGATCTATATCTTCTCTCTTCATCTGCTTCAATCGAATCGATTGAAGTTTTATCGAGTTTCTTCGATTTCTCATCTTCTTCTCAAAGTTCTCAGTGAAATCGATCGATTTCTCCGTCTATCGATCGATCTCTTAATCTCTCGATCTCTCAAACTCTCAATCTCTCGATCTCTCAAACTCTCAGTCTCTCGATCTGTCAGTCTCTCTAACTCTCAGTCTTTAGATCTTTCATTTTCTCGATATCTCAGATCTCTCAGATGGCTGGCCGAGGACGAAGGAGAAGAAACGTACCTAACGTTTCTCAGAGAGTCGTAGGGTCAACGCCTAGTCTACGACCTAACAGTCTACCCAGTCAGTACAACTTCACTCCGGCGGTCCAAGTGCCTCCGACGCAGTCTCCTCAAGTACCACCTGCCGTTTTACCAGGTCGGTCAACGACAGTCCGGGACTATCCACCGCCTCAGCAACTGTTCCAGAACTCCGGAACTCACACACGTTGAGTTGATGCTACTCAATCAGAAGAAGTGGAGAACAACCCACAGCCTCAAGCGACTCCTCAGCAAGAGGCTCCAACCTCACCAATTGTTCAGGATTCTCCGGCTCATAGTCAGGCTCATCCCCACACGACTTCTTCGCAAGGCAACAACTTCCAGGACGATATTCCTCACGAGTTGTCGGAGCTGCAGGCGGACTCACTGTGGGCATTGAATGCGTTGCTTAGTGTGCCTGGAAGGGAAAATTGGACCACCGTGCTCTCTCCGTTACCCATGGAAGACACCACATGGTATGATTCTTGCTTGCTTCTTATTCTGCCTTTATTTAATGTTTTATGGAGTTGTTGTTTCTTGTTCTCTGATGGCTAATGTACTTGAATTATTCGTCAGACTTGTTGCATAGTTAAATTGTGTGTGGACTTGCTGTTTCTTGTTCTCTGATGGCTAATTTACTTGAATTATTCGTTAGACCTGTTGCATAGTTAAATTGTGTGTCGACTAGTTGTTTCTTTTTCTCTGATGGGTAATAATCTTGAATAATGTCGACTTGTTGCAGACTTGTGTGTGGACTTGTTGTATCTTGTTCCCTGGTGGGTGATGAACTTGAAAAATATGGACTTGTTGCATAGTTGTGTGTGGACTAGTTTTTACTCGGTAGTTAGTAGAATAGTTTGGACTTGTTTTGTCTTGTTCTTTTATCCGAAACCCATGATGTGTTCGGTGCTCACTTGTTGTTTCAAGATGTTGTACACTAATGTGACTGTATGTGATGGTTTATGTGACTGTTTTAAGCTTAAGTCTCTGTTGATTTGTTTAAGTTTAGGTATCTGATGTTGGTTTTTTTTTAGAGTGTGAACCCACTCTCTCTGGTTTGGTTTGTCTTATCTCCTTGTTTATTTTTTAGAGTGTTAACCTCTTTTCTTCTTTGACTGTTTCATGTTTATGGAGGTTTACTCGCGACAAAGGAAATGCACTAGTTCGGAAGATTACTAAAGTTTGGACAAACAAATTTGATGCTCCCTTCTATAGCTTTACTTTGGTGCCTGTGGACAGAAGAGAGAGATACTTTCTCGAATTCGCGGTACTGTTTTCTTTCTCTGTCTTTATCCTTCTAATATAGAGTACTTTTCTTGTTTTCAATATCACTTACAATTCTTTTTTTTTGTAGAAAACACACCATTGGGATCCCTTGATACCAGGCACAGTGCAATATTATTTTGAGGATATATGTCAGCGCCGGATGAAAGATATGGTTAGCACCGTGAGGACAAGTCGAGAGCGACCTGAATGGATTCGCGACACTCTCTGGTAAACAATGTGCAACTACTGGGACACTGAAGAAGCGATGCAGAGGAGTGCAACCTGAAGATGTAGCTGCAGTCTGATGAAGTTGTTGAATGAGTCAAGAAGTAATACAAGATTTTGTCTGATGGAGTTGCTGAATGATTCAAGAAGTAAGTCAAGATGCGACTGTTTTTGTGTAAGTGTCGGTTTCTAGAAGGTTTGAGAAGATGTGTTTGGAACGTGTTTAGAGGATGAATCACAAAGGAAAAAGGACTTAAAGAGATTTGGAAGAGTTGATGAAAGTGGTGTTTGATGAGAAAAAGGAAAAGTATAAAAGGAAATTTACTTTTTCTTATGGAAATTGGAAATCTTCTCCTATGGTGATTAGGAAATCGTTTTGGCTATATAAGGAGGAGCTGAGGACGTCTTTGAGAAGGAAGAGAGCTGAGGCATAGAGTCAAATCATTGAGAGCTTTCTGAGGGTGTGTGCGACATAGTTTCGCGGTTTTGTGCGACATAGTTTCGCGGTTTGATGCTTGTGTGATCAAGCTTATTTGTCTGTTGGTGTAACGTTCGTGCGTGACGGTTGGTCCAGAGACTTGATGAATTGAAGTCTAGACTCAGGGGGAGTTTAGCTCAGGGTTAGGTTATCCTGATTAAATCTAGACTCAAGGGGAGTTTAGTTAAGGGTAGAGATTATCCTTAAGGTTTCACGTTATAGAAGGGAGCGGTAAATCAAGAGGGTTGGGCTTGTTTTACGCGTTTGCGAATTGGTTGTAATTTGCTTTCTTGTTCTAGTGAAATCGAAATCTGGACTTGGTCCCGGGGAGTAGGAAAAACCGAACCTCGTTAACAAATTTCTTGTCTCGTTTACTTTCTGCAATTTATCTTACCTCATCCGCACTTACACAACCTATTCAAAAGCTCGCATGTCTGACCGTGGCGGACTTGGTCCTCACATTCATTTCTCAGGCCCTAAGTCGTTTCAACAAATCAAAGATGAAATGGTCAGTCACTTCATATATCTGTTATTTATTGTTCTTTTAATTATGACTGGTTAACACATGTTATTTGGTTACAATGCAGGAAGAGCTACTGGGAAGAGCGGTCAGTCATGGTGAGGTTTCCATCAAGACCCATACTAGGCCAGATGGTATGTATGTTGATCAGAAGGCTGAGAAAATTGCAACAACTTACCAGCAGAATGTGGAACTGAGGTTGTCTGAGTTAGAAGCAGATGCTTCGCCTGTTTCAGATGGCGAGTCACGTCCTCGGGAGCTCACAACAGAGGACTACACCACAATCTTTCTGCAGGTTAAGTTTCATTTTTCCAAATTACATTTATATAATCTGGAGTTTAATTGTCATGCTCTAATCTCAGCTTTTCTCTTACTTTTTACAGTCCACTGAGATGGATTCTAGAGGAAATCCGTATGGAATTGGAAGCCTCAAGGAGACTCTTGGCAAGCGCAAGCGCTATGGACAGTCTTCATCTTCATCTTCATCCTTTTTGGATCTGCAAGAACAGCTGAAGGAAGCTCAACGCAAGATAGAAGAGCAGGCTGCATATAATGAAAGGAGAGATTCTGAGGATGCTGCCCGTAAAGCTGAGCAAACCCGAGCGGCGGCTGAGCAAAAGGACAAGCTCAAGCACTTGTCTTTGTTAGAGAAGTATCTGCGGCAAACCGATCCGCACTTCCTGGACTTCATGGCCACTCATTCAGCTCCTCAAGACACCACAAACCCTCTCTCGCCTCTTCCTCAAAATGATCCATAGGTTTCTCCATTTTATCTCTCTTTTCTCATGAACAAAAACTTTATCACTCTCTCAGTTTTTGATAACTGTCTTCGATTGTGAATGATGTACTTTGATGTGTATGTGTATTTGGCTTTTATTTGATTTGGAGTTTTTATTTGATTTGGTTTTGGATTAATGTTGTTTTGGTTATGGAATCAAACTCAGATATGAAACAAAATCGGAAACCAAATAATTTCAAACGAGATCATGCCAAATTCTTATTCCGACAACAACAATAGTCGCTAATTAGTCTTTAAAAAAATCGCATATTAGTCGCATTATGGTCACTTATATTAACGACTACGTAATGACTGTTTTGCAATAATCGCTTTTTAGTCGTAAAATAGACACCATTTAGTCACTATAATTTAACGACTATGTTTACGACTGCACTAAACAGACTTTATATGACTGTTGATTAATCGTAACATAGTCGCTAAATAGTCATCAAAGGTTACGACTAATGAGTGACTAATATATGACTCATATTTATTAGTCGTATTTTTGTCGTTAAAAGGCGACTAAAGTTACGACTATTGAATTTAGCGACTAAATATTTACGACTATGGTTATTAGTCGTAACCTGGTCGTAATATCTATTTTTACGACTAATTAGTTACTAATGTCGTAGTCGTAAAACGACTGTTTTCTTGTAGTAGAAGACTCTTGATTACAAATCACCCTGCTGTGTTTTAATTGATCCCATATCTCGTATCACTTCCATATGTTTAATTAACTTCGTAAGTGTTGGTGTATGCAAAACCTCGATAGTCTCTAGGTTTTTGGTAATCTTTTCTTTTAAGAAAAAAATTCCTAGCCAGTTTACCATCTTTTTTTTCACTATGAATAAGGAAATAAAACAGTTACAAAGAAAAACTGAAAGAGCGTAACATGACCTACAAACGATTTTATTATGTAAACAGCGCAGATTATAATTCAAACTAAGAGACATTATATTAATGGAACTTTATTCCAAACATTTCCGAAGGCATTGTGTTACAAACTCACCATGGTTTATTTATAGGCATACACATAATACATAAGTGTATATATAGATGCAATCATGCATGGTGGTGAATATATGATATAGTTTTAAACACCCGGCTGAGTCTGAACAGGTTCGTTAAGCCCGTGGCCTCCTCCTCCGTGGTGTCCTCCACCACCTCCTCCGTAGTGTCCTGAACCACCTCCTCCGTAGTGTCCTCCACCTCCGTGGCCTCCTCCACCACCTCCTCCGTAGTGTCCTCCACCTCCGTGGCTTCCTCCACCTCCGTAACCACCATTTCCTCCTCCGTATCCGTCAAGTCCGTGGCCCCCTCCTCCGTTGTGTCCTCCATGTCCGTGGCCTCCTCCCCCTCCGTAACCACCATGTCCTCCGTGGCCACCGCCATAACCTTCAGGTTGCACAGTTTCCTCACTCTCTGGCTTCACCATGCCTGCCCAAAAAAAAACACGTTATTTCAAAGACATTTTTAATCACATGCAAATGTGAATTCCTCTTCCTGACTTCAATTTTGTTTCCCACCTTAATTTTTTTTTGAAATATACGCTCTAAACATATTTACACAAAACTTACTAGGATTCCACATCACTTAGGTGAAGTGTGTTCTTCTGACTTTACTAAGTCCAAAATTGGAACTGACGAAATAGTTGTATAAATTTATCAAATGGTACGTTAGTTCAAGTTCGAATAGCCTCACGAACATATCTTGTTTTTTTTTTGTAAGCAGAGTGAAATGTATAAAATAATTTACGTACCCGACTGCCTTGCGGCAGACACTTCCGAGACGACGAGAAGAACTGCGAAGAGACCCAACAGAATCAAAGCCTTGGAACCCATTTTTTATCAAGTTCTAATAACTCTCTTAATATGTTAAGTAAGTGATGAGTAAATTGTTACGCTGCATGCCCTCTATTTATAGAAACCGAAGAGGATAGGGAATGAGAAAAGTCAAAAAATTACTCCGTAGTAGAATAAAAAGAAGGCATTATTTTATCAAAAGTAAAAGTTAAAGGAAATTTATAATAAGGGTAATACTAACAAAGTGGTAATTAAGAAGATAAGTATCAGTGTATTGTTATACGTGTTGCGTCGGGCCCCTCAGGGTCCGTTGTTGGATTCATTGTAACTAAATATGAATCAACGTAGATGGTAACTCCACTAGTTTTTTTGGTTAAAGTATGTTATTATTTGGACAGAAAAGTCGTGCACTAGTGATACTTGTTAAGGATCTTTCTTGAAATCTGCCGACATAGGGATATATAGAGACAAATCTATATGCACTAAACAAGAGTGAGTATAACATAAAGGAACAATGCGTAGAAACTACTGAGGACATACATTTTAGAGAGTGCAAAAGTTTTCCTTGGCTATCGTGAATACAAATATTCTAAATTTCTAATGGAACTTTTGACTGAAAAATCGATTGGCTATCGAAATATCTATCCATGCAATTTATCTAAGCATTATCCAAGTCACTGTGTGTAGTCATGTTATCATGTAGGTACCATCCTTTCTAACTTGCATTTGACTCTATAGTGATTTTCTTAGCATTTTTGTTTGGCTAATTTGGTACTTTATTACATCTATCTATATATCTATACAAATTACTATTTGAGATTAAAAAAAACAAACAAACTAGTGGTAATTGTAACACTAATACATATACGAATTCGAGTTCTTCTTGCCGCCACAAATTCACATAGCTGTGACACTACAAATTTACATAGCTGATTACATGATATAGAGAGACTAGAGTCCAAATGGGTACGAACTTCGTAATTATCAAAAATACATAAATTTAAATGAAATGGAATCATTAGCGGACCAAGTCCAAGAGAGAGCATGAAATTTAAAACTACAAAAAGAAAAAAAAAAATACTAAAATAGTGATGATAAAATATCACTAATGAAGGGAAGCGATCTGGTTACCGACAAGATCTCTAAAGTTTCACTGTCACGGCCCAAAGTCCTTTTTCCGCATTTTCATACGTACGTGGCCAAAGTCATTTTTTTGTCATTTTCTTTCACGTTGATTGTAAAGATTATCTAGAAGGTTGTACTACCATCTAAATAATGAATTATTAAGTGGGATTACAAAATTTTGGAGTAAAACTAAGTACAAAGAAATGTTGCGACTTAGTTTTAGGATAATTTTGCTATGCATTTAAATGTTATGCAAAGAGCAAGCTTTTTTGTAACATTAATTTTTATTTTTGAAACATATTAATTCTTTTAACATTATGAATTGTTTACATATATTCATTCTTTAGACGTTCACATAACCATTAATGTGTTTTGAATTAGAATAACATGTCTCATGAAAAAATCACGTTTTCCGTAAAACTTAAATGGAACTAACATTTATTTTGATGTGATTTGAGAGGAATATGTCTCATCCATATCAAGAACCTAAATTCTCTTAAAATATCATCATTAGGCAATTCTCTACAAGAAAAAATGTTGTGAAGTTTCTAAGAAATTCTCAAGTATTAGTCTCTAATATATCGCTAAGAATTGTTTCTTACGTATCGATCACACTAGTAATATATAAAACCCACATATATACCTTAATTAATTCACTATAGAACTTCAAGTTAGATATATTCGATTCATGTGAAATTTCGTATTATGTATTCGCAAGCAAATCATACTCTCCTTTTCATAATTGTTCCTACAAATCTCTTAATGTGTGATGCTTGTAGAAGATGAAGCAATTGTGGATGGTGAGATAATTTCTTTGGAAACGCATATTACCGACGGAATCTAGCCGAGACTATATTCTTCAAGGGGTCGTCAATAATACGTATTCTTTTATTTGGATCGTTTATGTTTTATTCAGGATTTATATTATTGGTTTATGAAACTGTTTACGTCTTTAAGGTTTTGTGGATGCACAAGCGGGGCAGTATTGATCATCATTCTCTTCTAAATGAACTTGGGATATCATCCGCGACATCTCACCGAAAGGTATCATGGTCAATTTTAATTTGGTTTCCTCAAGAGGTCCCGAGATTCTCTTTCATTGCTTGGCTCGCCATCAAAGACATGATATCAACAGGACAAGATACGACGCTAGGGGCAAGTACTGCCTTGTCCTCTCTGTGCTGAACGTGATGAGACGAGGGACCACCTTTTCTTTGTTTGTCCATATGTGTCCTCTATCAGGTCTACTTTGTGCACCCCTCTCCCGAGAAGACACACAACTCAAGGTCTGCCTTTGGCAACAAATGTTGAACAAAATCAATCAATTTTTTTTTTTTTTTTTTTGTTTCTCTTTCTGTTTCTACACATTTGAGAAATGCAATTTGTTACCATTTTTTGCATCAAAATCATAGCTCAAAAAAAAAACAAGACAAAACTATATAACTAGATCTGTCAAACTTCTTCGATACTTGTAAAATGATTCGTAAGCTCTCTCTTTAGCATAGATAGAAAAAGAAAACCCTTAAACCAAATAGAAAATTCTCAAACAATGAAAGCTTGAAAGCAATATTTCATCTTTGTGTTTACGAGTATTTGGTTCACAAGAATCACATGCTACTTCCTTCAAATAAAAAAGTCGTAATAATATCCAAGTTCTTCGGATTTTGCCTCAAGCTGCTCCTCCTTCATTTTGTCTTCAAGGACCACCAACTCATGCATCTTCTCAAGGATCTTTCGGTCTAGTTCTCTCATCCGAGCCTCACGGTTCTGCGCGTTCTTCACAATAACACGAATCTCCTCAAGTTTCTTTTTCAACCAATCCAGTTTAAAACCAGCGGCTTCAAGATCCAAAATTGTGTTGTCTACTTCTTTTAGTTCGTCTTTGGAGAGAGATTGTAGAGATAACATGTTCATCTTGTCGATGAGGTTTAAAAGGGCAGTCAAGTAAGTTTCCTTGGCAAAGAAACTCTTTAGACAAAAATTTGAAGCCGTGTCTTTAAAGATTAGCTTTGCTTGACCTAACTGTACAAAATATTAATGGAAACCAAACCATTCGTTTTACATCTTTTCTAATGTTGAACCTGAAGAATATTCTTTTACTTTTTTTTTATAGACAAAAACTTTATTTATTTTTTTTCCTAGAAACAAAGTCAAAGTTGATTGATATATGTAATGCTTACCTGTGATCGGCAAATCCAAAAACCGTTTATGTTCACGGTTTCATCAATGTCGTCATAATGTGAAGTA